AGGGGGGGGGGGGGGTAATAAAATTCTCTTAAATGCACAGTAGACTTGCAAATAGGCTGGTTACCAATGCCATGCTCCTACTGTGCAGAACAACACAGGGGGAGCTGCTGCTTTTTCTTTCCTCATCCTTACTATCGTTATTTTCCCTCTATTTCTTTTGTATGTTTGTCACTCTCGTGAGAACTGCTATTTCCTGGGTGCCTTGATAGTCGAAGCAGACATTGTGCTGTTGAGGCTAAAGAGGTCAGCAGAGTAGTCTGATCCCCCGTTTGGACTTCTCTGTTGACATCCACCCCTTGGCGCTCATATGACATTATACAGTTGCGAGCGTCGTAAAACCTTACTTTAAAAAATTCTTAAACCAAAAAAAAATTATTTTAAAAAATTGATCTAGATCTAGATATATTGTTCACTGGTCATTTTTAAAAATGCCAAGACCTGTTCCTTGAAGGCACAACAACAGTTAGGACAAAGTGGAAAATAAAAAGGGGCGCGATGTGACAATTTCAGGTAATAAAAGATGGTGAGACAACTGTCTGAAAAGTTTTCAAAAGCCCTAAATAGAGTTGAAGACAACTAGCCTACATGTAATCAGCTGTTGGCTCTGAAATGATGCAGGACATGATGCCGCCCAGGCGCGGTTCGTCCAATTTTTTTTTTATTGTTCTTTTACGTAAAGCAACCACAATAATAAATAAAAGACGCCAGAAACAAACACAAGTCAAATATTATATCAAAACAAGTGCCTTGCTGGCTCTGTAACTGTCATTTCTGTGTCTACAGTGCCATAAAACATCTACATGTACTATGCCATGCCAAAGCCTACGCGCTCTAACTAAACGTAATAGGAGAATCAACAGTGGTAACCTGACCTATAAATCGCTCATTGGGATATCCCAAGCGATGACGACAGCCGTAGCGAGTTTGGCGGTACATTAATATTAATAAGTCGGCACATCTCAAATGTGCTCCTGTCGAATAGTGCCGAAACGTAGCCCACAGTAGGCAGTCTAAAAATAAACGCCAAATATACTGTATACTATTCTATGCCAAAATTATGTGAGCCCCGGAGCAATCCAGCAGAGTGCTCAAGTGAATTCTGATTGGTTCATTGTCTTGCCACTAGGCTATTTTAAGCGACTCTGTGACTGTGAACCTGAGGGAGGTAAACGTGACATACTTAAGTACCGTCCTATGATTTGTGTCTTTGAATGGTTTTGCTGTGGAGTGGTGAAAGTTATTACTTGAGTGTTTCAGTTTTTATGCAGGATGTTCAGCTAACAAACAGATTTAGTTCTAGAAATCAAAACGACAAGTAAAAGGAATGAAAATAAAAGCACGAGCTCCTCCCTCACGAACCCAAAGATCCTAAAACTACACACCATCCCATTTACAATTCCCTTGACTGTCTTCAGCCTGTGATAGCTTAATTAATTGTGCACACCCACTTTTTAGCCCCACGAGCCGCCCCTGATCCCGCCAATAACGATTATCCTCATAATTATAAGCTTAATATCTCAGGAGAAATAAAAATATATCCTTTAGTTTATTGTAGTTTAATTTGAGTACAGATAAGAAAATTGACACGGCATCAGCGTTTGGTGCTCACGAAAGCAAGACAGACAGAAAGAACAGAGAAAAACGAAGCTGGACCTTCATGTATATTCTATATGGCGTTCACTAGCAACAATTCCCTTCGTGTCCAAAGAAAGACGAGGGCAGATCAAATAGATAGTGCTAAATTCTCCTCACATCAGAATCGAACCCAAGTCTCCTGTGTGCGATTAATAAGCGCCTACAGCTACCTACTGACTACTGTCCCATACTGGATGACCACGAGAAAACAATCAAAATTTAATTTAAACTTTCTCCGGTTCTGCGCGGATCTACACCAAATTTGAGAGAAATTATGTTTGATCATCGTTACGGACGCCACAATCCATGCTCAAATTTGAACTGGTCAGACGAGCCCGGCTGCATCAGGCGTGTCTTGAGGAAACCCAGAAAGTGCCTTTGGCGTTAGAAAATACATTGAATTCAAGTCAGAAAAAAAGCTTCAACTTCAAGCCCGTTGAGTGGGGAGTAGTTAATTGTAGATCTATATCTAATGCACCATCTGAGAGAGCAATTTGGGGGTATACAAACAGTTGAAAGTGAGAGAATAGCCTATGCCAGAAGGCCAATTACGGAAGGAAGTAAGCACGTATTTAATTTATACGAAACAGTACGAGTGGAATCATCAGTTTGCGCGAAAACGCCAAAGAAGTCTGTTCTAGGACGTCGTAGCAGTGAACTAGGCTTGTCAAAGTCCACAACTTACAGAAGAATCTTTAAAAAAGCATGATTTGAAAATGAAGTTATAAAAATAGATTATCACATTGTTGTCCTTTACTTACTACCCGTCACGCACAGGGCAGCCAGCAACAATTAAAGGATCCCCAGCTCAGTCTATTTTCACTATTTTGGGCCATCTTGGTCAACGTCCCCCACGAATGGTTCTAGGACTTCATTTCAGACTACTGTGCGTCTGCAGGTCACTTTCTGCCCCTCTTGCGATGTCACCAAGTAAACCCAGACGTACATTGCTTTGGAGAGAAAAGCAATGAGCACGTCGGTTTAGAAGACAGATGGGACTGAAATTAATGTTCAGCGCTGTTCTCAATGCCGACGAGGCTCATTTCTACGGGACAAGAAAATTTATGTCTGGGAATTGTGTGCACTGGGAAACAGGAAGACCGGCCAGATGATATGAATGAGAGGAATTAGAAAATCGGGACAAGGGCCTTGTTTAACTTAATTAGAGCTAGCTACAATTGTCAGATCGTTACCATTTTTGTCAGAATAAGTAAGTAAGGAACTGCATTGTGCTACCACATGGATATCATCTTTTTTTAAGCTAACAGGTCTAATGCATATTGCTTTATCGTTTTAATAAATTGGATAGACCTATAAAAGTGTCTTTGTCCAGATGGTTCCTTTTGTTTTTACCAAAGGATTTTGCTGTATTTTACGTGGTTTTTATTTTATTGAACTTTTTTGGAGGGCCTTTTTTGGATAAATCTGGCCGTCGCACGTATTTGTGCGAAAAGACACGTTGACACAGATAGTTTCAGGTGTAAGGCCTTTAGATCTAGATCTAGCAATTATAATTTGCATACAAGGCCTCCATGGATGTAAAACGCTTGAAATGTTCTATAAAATTAATATTTTATGTTGATATATGGCCTAGTATCGATTTCGCTTGGGATTTTTGCAGATAAAGGAAGTCGACAAAGTAAAGAGAACTGTAGGTTATATATAATACACATTGTATTTCAAGGGTGTTTGTAACCAAAAATTGTCTTTCTTATTTAAAAAAAGCAGAGGTGATAAAATGTTTTCTTCTTCTTCTTCCACTGGAATTTGAGACAGATTATACAAATGACATGAACTTGAAGGGATTTAACTTTGTAAATCAAGCTGGCCTAGCCTCAGAATTCCATGCAATGCAAAGGCAAAGTAGATCCTCCTTGTGAGCCAAAAACACGATTTTATTTGTCATTCCTTTTCCTCTTTTTTAAAACCGATTTTATAATTAATATTATCATGATGGAGCCGCCAACAATGTGAAAGTTGGTTGTGAGCTGTGACGATGTGGCCAAGGGCGCAGACTGAGAAAAGGTTTGTTTCGTGTTCTGTATCCAAGAATTAATTTGTGTTCTGACGTCACAATAACTGAACGAAAGAAAGGAAGAGGAAGGAGGGATAAGAAAAGAAAACATGGCCGACTACGAAGAACTCTACCATCGTTCCATAACGCGAACGAAGTCAAGGTAAGTACGAAGGCAAAAGTGTTTTTTGTTTTCGGTAGTATAGAATCTTGTTTTTTTGTCTGTAGTCACTCCCGATAGAGTGATTTAGAGTTTGACGTGCTGAACAAATTCTTCAAGCCTGATAGCCTACTGATAAAAAGAGAAACGAAAGACAAGTCTCGTTTCTTTGACGTCGGCCTACAACTCTACAGTTGACCTGTTCTCGATAATTCACCCAAAATCTATAAGAATCTTGAGTGTGAGGCTGAGACAAAGATACTGTTTGGACAATCTTCCAATTGACAACGGGGGTTCTTTGGAAATTGCCTGCTATTGCCTTCCCGTTTGTTTACTTAGAAGTGATTGCTAAGTTGCCTGAGGCAGGACAAAAGACTGAAAAGTGGCCATGTACGCGTGTGGACCCTACTCTTCTACCCCAAGCTCTACCACATTATTAGAAGAGTAATATTAGTCATTGGCCTAGCCAGTAATATTTTTCTCCCTGTTTTGTTTTACAAATTTATTTTGGATTCATTGGTGGACCCACCGTGTTTACACATGTGTTTATTAATGCGCACTAGCCATACAGTGGGGGTTTTCAGGGGGGCTTGCCCACATGCGATTAAAAGTAGAAATGATGCAAACTACTTTTAGGTAAGAAGGCGCCCTTCTTGTTTGACGTCAGACCAAGATACCCCTACGATCACGTGACTACATCTAAGTATAGACAACCGCATGGCACCAAAGATGGAAGTGTCTATGTATATTAATATTATCATGCTTAATCTACACAAATTTCTCGGAATTTTTGATAGCTGATTTGATAGCGCGTCTGCGTTTGATGTCGAGCAATGACTTTTGGAGCGGTTCGATTCCGGTCCCGGACAGTTTTTTTTTCTCTTTTCCTCCTCCCGACTGACCAACAGTTCCATAAATTATAGGCCTAATTTGTAGAGTTGCTTTGACTTTGAAGTTGTTGTTTATTTTTAAAAACGAAGTGACTATTTCTCCGAACGTTCGGAGAAATAGTGCCGATCTTTATTTCTCCGAACGGTTTCCGGCTTCCGCTCTGGTCGTGATTGTTTGCCTATTTGCGAGAGTTCGGCGCCAACTTTCATTCCGTCATTCTGCGAGGTCTGGGAAGGAGCAAATCAAAGGTGGTATCTGTTCTCAGCTTCTCCTCCGGCCGTGTGCCCACTGGTTTAGCGAGGCGGGTACTGCCTGAGGCACCCGAGAGACGGAGAAATCTGACCCTCTTTTCTTTTGAGTGGACGGTTATCGTCCATTAAAAAAAAAAACGGAGCAAATTTTTGGGTTTAGATCTATTTCAATTTTCAAGAGCTAGATCTAGTCTAGAGATTTTTAGATGAGTGTAAAAACGTGAAAAAGAAAGGTTTCACAACAGAATGAAATCAAAACTAGAACAGCCCAGAAACAACCACAACAATTAACAAATAAGGGCGTGTGTCCACCTGTCCGAAGAAGATTGACCGTTTTAACCCTAAATGTGCGTAATTTGTTTAAAAAAGTACAGGATATTGCATGGAAATTATGGAACCACACACAGGGGGCCTGCCAGTGTCAGTACCTGTACTTGGTTTTGGTGGAACGCTCTAACATAGCACATTTAAATCTATACAGGTATATATATTTAGAATCTAATGAAGGTAGGAACATCAAATTAAATGACGTTACACTATACCTTTTGTAGGAACATCAAATTAAATGACGTTACACTATACAACCCCCCACCCCCTTTTCCCCAACAACAAAAAATTAATAGAAAAACAACACATCAGAACAATAACAAGGAAAAAAAATACACACCAACAAAATATAACACCACAAAGAGGGAAAAATAAACGAAAAATAAAAGAGGAACAGCAATACAAATCGTATGTAACTGTAACATATTCAACAAATCAACGTGGTGACAACAAGTGAGAAAGAGACGAAGTGAAGCTAAGTGAACTTTCTTTCAAAAGTAAAGAGTTTCATTTTCTTTTCTTTTTTTTGGACTTTTTCGGGGACCAAAAAATCGAGCCACGATTGATTGGTCGCGGCCTCGACAAACGCAGATGCTAGCTCTATGTGTCGTTATCAATAACCCTCCATAGATCTAGATCTAGACAGCTCACGAGTGAACGCAACACATTAAGTTTAAGAGCAGCACCCTTCATAGGCCACACGTCATATCTGTAGCGAAAAACTGTTTGGAACTGTAGCATTTCTTTATATAAATACGGACATTTTTTGGACCGATTGAACCATATTGTATACGAACAATCTTTGGTAGGCCTATAATATAATTATAGATCTATATTTTATTTTTATTATCCGAAATATGCGGGAAAGGGTGTGATTTCAGAGTGTTCGGAGAAATAGTGCCCAGCTTTATTTTCCCGAACGTTCGGAGAAATAGTGCCGGCCTTTTAAAAATGTATTAGTGATTAAAAATGCAGGAGGGGGGGGGGGGGAGGTGGTAGATCTAAATTTAGATATCTAGATCTAGATCTAGATCTAAATTTAGATATCTAGATCTAGATCTAGATCTAGATATTATCTAGATCTAGTCCTCCTGCGTCTTTACGGCAATTTTCGTGCGGTCTTCCATCATGTCCAGGTAGGCCTAATAGATCTAGATCTAGAATCTAATCTAGAATCTAGAATCTAGATCTAGATCTAGATCTAGATTCTAGATCTAGCTAGAAAATCCGAAATGTTACCGAAAACACATCGTTCCATGTTTGGGTATCCCAGGAAGTGATGACATCACATTACTAAAATAAAAGCAGCCAATCAGAAAGATGCGTCATTTCTAAGTTTAACGGCATGTGGCTTGCCCTCACGATTACACAAAAGTCTAGCAGTCTAGCCTCTAGGCCACTTTTAGAAACGGCCACCTCTATTCTCACCCGGAGTGAGAATAGTGCAGGTGAGTCTTGTGGCTATTCTCACCCGGTGCGTGTTCACCAAATTTTGCGTTCACCCTAAACCACAGAATTCTACACTGTGATTTATATAACAGAAAAATTGTAGAATTCTGTGCCGTGAACAAACGTTCCATTACAACTGTAGCCTACTAAAAGCGTACAATTTTGTCTGTGGGCAGTGGAGAGAGAAAGAGAGAGAGGAGTAGCGCGAGAATTTCCAGGCAAAACAAAATGGCGACCCGCATAGTTCGGCTCGATTCGAAAAGTTAAATAGCCGTAGCATCTTTGTAGACAACCAAATTAATTTACTTTTGTGTTTTAACATCATTTTTTAACTTTGTTTTGGTCAATTTGATCGTCCACACCGATGGACAGTATTCAGAAAGAGACAGAGAGAGAGAGAGAAGAGGGGAGGAGTTGATCTTGCGAGAACTTCCGGGCGGGTGAGAATAGCCACTTTCTTTAGAAACCCCTTTGACGAGTGTGCCTCTCTGCTAGTTCGGACTCTTCCAATGTCAAATTAATAGTCTTTTAGGGTTGAAAAGTGCAGTTGATATTGAATTGGTTCTAACAAAATATTCGGGAAGATTGAAGAATACCGGACCACTCGTACATTATTGCGCGAGAAAGTGGGGTAGGTGGGGCAGGTGGTTGAGGTGGAGGAGGGGGGAGGGGGGTTCAGGGAGGGGTCTCCCCCCTGACAAAATTTGAATGAACGAAGTGGCTAGCCGTACTTAGATCTAGGTTTGGCCCTATAAACTCAAGCCTGTAAAAGTACACAAAAGTCTCATTAGGTATAGATCTAGTAATTATTCAGATTCAAATACATGCAAGTCAGTAAGGCACCTTTTGGTTTTGTCTGAAATACAAATAGATCTACTTTAGGCATTGCAAACTAAACATTTCATTTATAATTCAGCCATCAATATTAAGTACGGCTAGCCTGACAGTCTAGCCGTCCTTAAGTACGGCTAGCCTGGCTGTCTACCCGTACTTAAGTACAGCTAGACAAGAAGTCTAGCCGTACTTAAGTACGGCTAGACTGCCAGTCTAGCCGTACTTATCTTAGGCCCTATTAACATTAGAAAACAGGAGGTTTAAAATACATGCACTGTCATTAAGGCACCTGGTTTCCTCTCAAATACAAATACTGTAGGTACTGCACACTAAAAATGTATATTTACAATTATGTAGGCCTATTTTTTGTAAATGGTCAGTGTAGCCATCATATTAAGAATAAATACGACTAGACTGCCAGTCTAGCCGTCATTAAGTACGGCTAGCCTCTTCCTTGAATGAATAGATCTACCGGTCCGAGATTCTCCATTGAGAGATATTAAAAACTGGAAAATTATGAATTCCTAAGGTTGAGACATAGGCAAAGTCAGTCCGCTGGTCCGGTATTCTTCAATCTTACCAAATATTCAAGGAAAGCTCATGGCTATCTTACGAAATACTACTGTACTTTTTGCTCTGTCTGTGTTGACAGTAGGGACGTTGGATGAACAGACCTAGATCTAGATTCTATCCGTTTTCCTCCTCCTGGCATAGATATTTTTGTGCATCTTGCATTGTTATTTTGAACAATCTTCATAAATATTTGCAAGTCTCCACCACTTTGTATGTGATGACTTTAGAATTTTCATCATGTATGTGGTAATTGATTTGCTAATTTTTTTATTCCAGAGAAGATCACCATGAGAGGGAGGACTCCACTGTTCGTAAGAAGGACAAAAAGAAGCACAAGCACAAACACAAAAACAAGCACAAGCACAAGCATAGCAGCAGTGAACGTTCTCACAAGCACAAGAAAAAGAGACACAGCTCTCCTGATAGCATTGAGGGACAACATATTGACCTGCCAAAGAAGCCGCGGTTGGACGGTCATGATGATCCGGAGCTGCAGAAACTCGAAGCTGCTCGCAGGGCTCTCAAAGCTGAGCTTAATGGTCGGGATGATGAAAGTGCCTTTCGAGCCATGTCGCTTATTGCTAAGGTGCGAAGTTTTTGGTGTACTACTTTCCTACCACATCTTCCATGCAACCTGTCCTATAGCCATAATTTTTGTCTGCTTACTTTTCCGCTTCTTATGAAAAAAAAGGAAGCTTCAAGCTGTGTATATATGAGCAATTGCCAAAAGGTGAGACTCTCTTGAGACTCAGTGGTGCAAAAAAATTTTTTTTACCAATTTGACTCTCTTTTCTATCAGTCACAGATTGACATTTAGTGCTCATATTCCTAGAGTATCAGAGCAAGGAGATGTACGGTTTTGGAGATATGGGTCTATTGGTTTGGCAACTACTGTATTTCTTGTATGTAACAGTGATGACAAAAACAGATAAGCGGCAAGGCAAATTATAGACTTTAAATTCCATTTGTTTAGTAAACAAACACTTTGCACACTATGAACTCCATTCATAATGGTAATATGAATGGCAAGCTTTGTAACAATGACGCAGTGCACAGAACATGTCATCATTGTTATGTACAAGAAAGGATACACATTGGACATTATCATTGACAACACATCACAATAGTGAAAGGCTGTACAAATACAGTTATCAAAGCCTCAGTACCAGAAAAACACATGTGTAAAACAATTTTTTAACTAATATGAGGCAAAAGCACAAAATCAATGGAGCTGACTTGTACATAACAGTGATGACAAACATGACTTGTACATAACAATGATGACACAATGTACAGGAAAAGACAAAAGTCTTGCCTCCAGAGATAAAAGCGCACTTTAAGAATTAAAAAAAACCCAGGAGAGGTTTCTTTTGCTTTGAAACAGATACCAGGTCATATCAAAGACAGTGGACGATCACAATTATGTTGCTAATTATGACAAACAGTACTCGTACATAACAGTGATGACAAAACATACTGGGAAAAGGTAAAATCATGCCTACAAAGAACAAATTTGCACTAAGAGATACACAGATCAATAAAGGTGTATTTTGCTTCTAAATGAATCTTGCATGTATGAAATATATGTTGAAAACTTATTGATATTAGCAATTATGAAAAATATTACTTCTACATAACAATGATGGCACAATGACACAATGTATTGGAAAAAGGTATATCATACCAACAAAGAACAAATGTGTATTTTTGAGTTAGACAGATAAACAAGGACATGTTTGTTTATTTGTTTGAGTAAAGAGAGCACACATTACTTAAAAAATGTTTGCTCTTAGGACAATGTAATTTCTTGTACGTTAGTCAGTCTTGTACGGCTGCATGACGACATCCCAAACGTCATCACTGAGCACAAAATCTATAACCACAGAAATGATCCATCTCTCAAAGTTTGTTCACACATCACACTCTTGTTCCAGGAATCCAGTGTAAACACCGCAATTTCACTATAATATTCAACAGAGTAGCCTAAAAACAGGCAAAACAGCCCAGTACGTCACATTCAACGCAAAATTATTGTGCGTCACCGGATGCTGAAGGCATTGACTACTTTAGTTTTTCTGTTTCCCCCGTTGCTTCCGTTGTTCTGGGGACGCGGGTAAGGGGAAGTCACTCAAGAAAACAATTATATCCGGGCACTTTTGATGACCCGTTCAAAACAAAAGTGGGCGAAATTCGGACTTACGGCACGTCGTAAGTTGACGACAATAACGGCGAATGTTAAACAGCCGACCGAAATCGTAGATCTAGGAACCCGGTGTTCCTTTCGCGCATCGCTGCTTTTGAAGTATTGAATAAACGACGATAGGCAAAGAGATTTAACCAGCTACGGTGATTCTACTGAAAAATAATGGTGTTTTCTGAAACACCTAGTCCGTGACGACACGACAGACGCACAAGTAATCCGAATTGTTCGTCTATTTGCAAACAAATAAACCGATTTCTTGAGCAAGTTAACCTTTCTCAATGACAAATAACATAGGATCAAAGCACACGTAAAAAAAACATACCCAAAAATACTAAATTTTGGACATTCTTGGAAGTTTGCAGTGGTGTGCTCAAAATGACACTCCAGGAATCACTAAAAAAACGAACATTTTTGGCACAAAATTTACAAACTCAAGATTGTAAAGCTGACAAGGGGTCTGAAACTGCTAATGCAGGTTCTACATCCTATATTTGACGTGTGTATACGTTTTGGAGGAATAAATACTAATGCATCACATTTTATGCACACTAATGTGAGATGTGTGTGTTTTTCCCCACGTTTTGGCAATGGCTCATATGGTAAAAATATTTTGGTGATTTTTATTCTATTTTTACAACTCTTATTGTTGGTGTAAGGGTTTTTCAAGGTTTTTGAAATTATTCATAGTTCCTTTAGGAAAACAGTATTGAGTACACTTAATGAGGTTTTAAATTGCTTATCATTGTATGCTTTTTGTTGGTCCTGTGTTTGATGTATTTTTTTTTTTACAGGGTTATGTTACCGACTCAGAGGAAGAAGAGGGAGAAGTGGAGCATGAAAACCTCAAGGAAGATATGAGAAAGGCCAGGGAGGTTCTGGAACGTATTGGAAATAAATCATCCACTCAAGTGCCTGTGGACAGTGTAAACAGTAGGAATGTCTATGCACAGCGCAAGGACTTTACACACTTTGAAGATTTCAAAATATCAAAATCTAGAGATGAAATAGGGGATAGTGAAGAGGAGGCCATGGTGAAGTCAGATAGCAAGAGACAGATTAGTAGAGATGATGATAGTTTACAACATCGTAGTGTTAGGGAATCTTCATTACAGGGAAGTGACAGTAGCCAGTTATTAGATGAAGGACTAGAGATGCTTGATAGCGTTGGAATTTCTACTGGAAAATCTACCTCAGGGAACAAACTGAACCCTTCTCTCGCTGCACGACTGGGACCTGAAGTTAATTCTGTTCACGCCAAGGTGCAAAGCTTAGTTAATTCCTCCAAGACGAAGGCACCATCTTCGGAGGAGACCAGGAACCAACTCAATGATAATCATTATCAGCAGCAGCAGCAGCAGCCGCAGCAACCACCCCTACCACCTGAAGATCGATCCAAACAGCAAAATCGTTCGTTACCGAAAGGCAAACTTGAAGGTAAAGAGAACCGTGTGGTGGAGATCTTAGATAGTGACCAAGAGGAGGGACAAACTAAGGAAGAGATGGAAGTTATCCAGATAGATGACGATGACGAGGTACCAAATCGACGTTCTGAGAAGCGGAGGCGGCAAAAGTCCCAACGCCGTGCTGACCCGGATATCACCATAGTGGAAGAAAAATCTTTTGGTCTTCCATCTAAAAAGAAGGGTGACAAATCAAAGAAAAAGAAAAGCCCCTCAAGGTGAGATACTATTTATTTTGTATGTATTTGATACTGTTTTGCTTTTCACCCAATTTTGATTGACTAGAACACTTTGAAAGTTGCTATTTTTTCTAACATTTTGGTTGATTTTCTTCATAGTTAGTGACATATGTGATGTCCCCCTGGTTGAAGTTTATTTGTTCTAAGTTTTGATGAAACTGGTCCAAAGATAGATAATAGAGCATTTTTGGTCTATTGTAGACCTTATTATTTATAAAAGACTAAATGGGTACCCGTTTGATGAACGGACTCAAAAGAATCATATATTGCTTTCTTTGTGGAACCAGTGCACACTGCTTGTGAACAGAAGCCTCACTTGTTTTCAATGGCATCTTAGAAGACGGACTTTCCCAAGATTAAATCTAAAGAAACTAATGAAAAACTGAAAATTAAACTACTGTGACTTCAGACTCCTTAAATAACTGTACTCTTTAAATATTTCTGAACCACCGTTAATTTTTTCTCAATCGAAAGTTATGTGGTTCAGAAGTTTAAGGCGACCAGAGCGAGGAACTTTCATAATTATAATAAGAAAGAATCCAGTGTAAATTAAGACCTGTATGGGACTGTTCTACCCACAACACAGTGTATAGTTAACTCTTCTCTATACTAAAATTGCTAGACAAAATGTAGGCAGATAATTCACTTGTTTCGGAAAAAAAAAAAAAAAGATCTTCTTAAAGTTAGATCAATTGTCTTTTTTTTATTCTTTTCCATTATTTTGTCTTGAGACTATTTTGGACCAGTCTTAAAAATGCAATGTATTCTTTCAAGCAGTTTTATTTTTCTCTGTTTTCGTGACCCTTCTCTTCAAATCACAGACTATTCATGATTGCTAAGATGGTCAGTGCATGTAGTCTTCCTTCTTCTCATACCCCTGCTGGAGCTCAGGGGGTATTTGACAAAGATCTTTATTATCTCTCAGCCGGTCTAATTTTATTTACATAGAACATAGAATCAACTCTTGCCTGACAGTCAGCCACATATGCTGTTTTCGAAGGAACTGTTAATGTTTAATAAGTTTATATACTGAGTAGAGGGGTTTCCGTTCTGGATTGGAAATATGTGAAACTTCCACATGCGGCATCCAAAATTTTTCCTCTTCATCTGAGAGGACTAGGTGCTCACTCCTATCTACTGTAGGATTAGGGAGTGTAGAAAACAGGGGGAGGGGGGGGGTGTGATGCTAACAGGGAACAAACTTTTGGCCTCAGAGGTGACAGGAATGCCATATTTGTTGAGCTACTGAGACCCCAGTGTATACTTGTAGTTAGTCAATAAGTACAATAGCCTCTAAAAAAAAAGACATTCAAATTCAATTCTGTTTTGAGAGTGTTTGGTATGCTTGCACAAAGGCAGACCCTTCTGTACCAAGATTAAATGCAAGCCCTCAGACTCAGCCTGTTACATTTCTGACCTAATTTTGATTGGATGTCCTCGTAGAAGGAATGTCTCAGCTGTAACAGTATAGTGTTGGGCGTAATTTTTCCTATGAATTAAAAGGAACTTACAAGTCCCCATGTTGTCATTCTTTCTCATGTTGTTTGAAATCTTTCAGTTTTTATTTACTTAAAATATTGTTGTGTCATTTATTTTCAGGAAAGATACATCCAAGGATAGGTCTGTATCAAGCAAGGACAAGGAACTTGCCAGAGGTAGGAAAGAAGGCTCAAGAAAGTCTGATGAGCCAAAGCGCAAGAGGGAAGAGGCTCAAAGGAAAGATATTAAAAAGGATGAGTTGCGCAGAGAAGAACCAAGAAGAGATGAGCGACGAGACGATCGTAGGGAGGAGATTCGAAGGGGCCCAGAGGATCGGTGGAGAAGAGGAGGAGCCCCAGAGGAACCGTGGAGAAGAGGGGATTCAAGAGACAGAAGAGAAAGAGAAGTGGAACAGGAGGAAAGAGGCCGGGTGGAGAGGAGAAGAGATGACATGCGCCCACCAGATAGAGGAGGGAGGAGGAGAACGCCAAGTCCTTTTATGGGCAGAAGGTGGGAAGTTGTTTTTGTTTATCTTTCTGTGTCCTTATTGCAGTTAATAGTTTTGCTTTCATGAAACAAAGAGGCTGTTTACAATACTCAGCATTATTTGGGAGATCATAGGCGCATTTCCCTTATCTCTTGCACAATTTGTCATTTGTATGTAAATGATTTATTTGTTAGTGTTAGACAGAGTTTAGGGTTGTTTATTTTGTGATATAACTTTTTTTTAAACATGAAGCTACATTTCTTTCTTCTAACAGGTTTTGTGAATAGAAATGTATAGGGTGAGTGTTCAGGAAGAAATATGCCAACTTATAATGACTAGTCAATTTAAATCCTTGACTATTTTTTATTTGATGAAAATATTTTCCTATTATTTTTCAGTAGTAAATTAAGATAGATCTTAAGGTCAAGATGGACTCTTATCATTTTTAGTTCACTAGACTATTGATTGTATGAAGCACACCACTTTTTTTACTGTGTATAGATCTGATGTTTTTCTTTCCTTCATTGTGTCATTATGCAGATACCGGGATGCCCCAGAGAGAGGGAGGGACAGAGACCGTCGGGGAAGGTCATCGGAGAGGGATAGAGACAGGGACGAATCCAAAGACCCCCAGGACAAGTTCAAAGACAGTCTGTCAGAGGGCTTGGCCTTACAGAATGAAGAGTCAGAAGAGGAAGAGTAGGTTACTTTCATATCTGGTCATTACTTTATCAATTAATTTTTTTGTCTCTTAGATTTTCAGCTCGCACAGTTTCAAGTCGGAATTTTTTGAATAAATTAATAAAAATTTCTGAGGGTTTTATCGATTTTAATGGCATTCTCTCTAAGGTTAACAGAAACTGCAAAATAAAGAGTGATCTCTTAAAGAAGTAGAGTATAGTGAATCTAATCTTTCCAACTTTACTTGTTAATTTTTTAAAGTAATGCATTTACTTTACTTCATTATTTCTTTTAACCTGTGCGCCTACTCAAGACAAAAACCCTGTGTAATCAGCTATATCACTGAATCAATGTTGCTGTTTCAGTTTGTAGGGAAAAAAATGTTCGTCAGTGCACTTTTAATTTTTTTTTTCAAACATTTCTGGTTTTGAGATTATCTATCCAGAGAATATTATAAAGGTTCCAAAGTTACAGATCTAACAGTGTCAGGAAACTAGGAAAACCTACTTGGCGGCGTTGAGCGTTCACAGGTTTGGTACTTTTTGAACCCATTGATTTCACAACTGAATATCTACCCCCATATGTACAATTTGATGTTTTGAAAAGTAGTCATCATCATCATCACCATTGTCATCATCATCATCATCAGCCTTTCTCACCCTATGCCAGAATATAGTCCATCCACTCGTTCCTCTGTTCTGGCCTGTAGTCCCTGCACATCTCCAGCTGCATCTCATATCTTTTCGATCCTAAGTTACTCGATGAATGTATTATTGTATTGAAAAGTAATGCTCTTTGTTTTTGTTCTTTTGGCTTTCAGGCTTGATATTGATTTTGATGATGATGAGGAAGATGCAGACGCCATCATTGAAAGAAGACGTAAGGAGAGGCAGGCACTGTTAGAGGTAGGCTCAGATTGTTTGTGATTTCTTGTATTGCTGTGAAAGGGGAAAAAAAGCTTGATAGATGAATTGCCAATATCAAAAGTCCATTTGTAGAAGATATTTTGAGTCTTTGGACTTGGGTTTGTTTTGAAGTATAGTGACTCTTGAAACTGAAGTTATGTGTGGGCGGTATGGAAAGAGCTTGTAAGGATTGCACCATTAAGGAGAGGTACAATTTTGCAATATTAACTTTCCGGTGCCTTATGACCTACCTGGTACGTCATGAAAATACATAATTTTTAAATTTGCTGCGCCTGGTTCCCAAATTATGCTACATATACATCACGCTAATAACCTGGCTCTAATTCTTCTGTGCAGCGCTGCGTAGATTCATATTTGGAAATAAAAGCTGCACCAAATTTGCTAGTATGCTTCCCGGGAAGCTGAGAATGTTTCGGAGTGATCTATGGTCTGCTGGGGTAATAATATAGTGTAAAGCGCATAGAGCCTGCTGTTGAGCGGGGATATGCGCTATACAAATGCTATCTATTATTATTATTATTAGTATTTATTACTTACTTCACTGTTAGGTGTGCAAGCGATCGATAAACACAAATCTAGGCTTGCAGGCGGCTGTGTGCTCTTGTAAAAGTTAAACATCAAAATGACTCTAAAAGGCGAATAAATTTACTTTTTGACTTAGATTTACAAGTTATTCGAAATATGTGTAAAGTGGGATGAAATGGACGATAAGAAAAGTGAGAAAAGTGACAATTGAAGACCCAGTGTCTGAAATATGTCACGAGTACACTAGATCTAGACCACGCGTCCATTAACACCGAGACGTTAGGCTGTTGTGGTGGGTAACGAGCTCAGCTGAAAATCAGTGCTGACAGCAGGAACGCATACACCATGACTGCGAAAGGGTAAAATTTTGTGTTATTTTTATATCGCTTTATCTGTAGTTACTTGATCTTAGATTATAAGGTACTTTATGGAAATTTATTTCCATGACATTGTTTATTGTCTTACTTTTTTCAAATTTTGATAAAAAATGTTAGCATCTCTAGACTTGTAATGTCTAGTACTCTTTAAGGTTGTCTTTCTAATCAACTGCTTTTATTTTTATTTAGTCTTTACTTACAGAATTGTGCACTTCATTTCAATTTTGTGTCATGTGTGACAGGTAGATTTACTTCTTTTTATCATAGTATACTTTTGACAGCAATTTTCCACTTCCGAGTTGCAGTCACTGAGGTTTGCCAAGTTATCTATTGCTGTGGTTTTAGCTCAATTTTACTTATTTGAGACAATGACCTGTGACCTTCGGAATATCATTTCAGGTCATTTCCTAAATGTGCTTCTTTCAATTAAAAAAAATTTTTTTTTGTTATTACAGAACTTGAAGGCGACAAACCCCACAGAAGTAGCAGGGCTGGAGAGTCTCGACGGAGGGACAATGGGAACTAATGTTGAAGCTGAAAGTAAACCCATGGAAACAGAGGAGGAACAAGAAAGGAGAATACAGTCTGAGAAAGAAATGAAAGAGTTGTATGGTGAAGACTACGGCGGTGATCTTGAGATAATCAGGTATGTTTTTTGCCTTGCAAATCAGCTTTCTTGAAAGGAGAAGTTGTATTTTCTTTAGTAGTTTTTGTCACTTTATGATAGTGTTGTGCAGTACTTGATATTTTACTGCTGGAGAGTGCTTTGTACCACGTTCATGCTATTCAAGCGCTTTCTGCGCGTGCCAAAAGGCTGTTGAAAACATGAGTCTTGAGCACTGAGAGTATGGTACTAGTCTGAGCACTGATGATATAACTGAGGCAGCTGAAGCAAAGTAGCAACTAGGGAGTTTGAGTTCTTGAGTATGCTGAACTCAGCACTACTTTGTTGTATTGACACTGTAATTCTTATTTTGATTGAGATGAGGAGCCAGATTTTACTCAAGCTAATGCTCCTTTTTTTTTGGTATGGCAGCGTGAGCCTATAAAAAGCTAGAGTGACAGAAACTGACGATAACAAATATTTATGGCCATTTAAAAATTTGGTTGTGTGACTGGGCTCGTGGTTATTATTGTCTTGTAAGAATTGCTCTGAAAGTAGGTTTTCTTATTTGCTTATCTCTTTCACAGCAACGGAGACCCCCAGTCCAGAGGTCCTTCCACTCCTGCGGGCCCTGGCAGCTCCCACAGTGGCAGTGTCAGCCGCAGCCGCACAGAACGCAGCCAGAGCAACGATCGGGCCGGCCCCAGCAGTCGCGACACCAGCCGTAGCCGTGGACGGGACGATCGAAGCCGTAGCCGCGGACGGGACGATCGCAGCCAGAGCTTGGACAGGGGTAGTAGGAGCTCCAGTCGCCACAGTGAGCGAAAGAAGCGCGGCCGCAGTAGGGACCGGAGGAGTGGCACTGGCAGTTCAAGTGACGACAGGTGAGAGATATGACGACAGGTGAGAGTTGGTCTCCCTCAGGTGTCCCATCAGACTGTGGTACCTGTGTTTTTCAAGGGAATACTTTCATTCTGCCTACTTTTATAGGCCCCCTGCCGCACCCTTTCTCTTGTATTGATTGTTTTAAGTTTCTGTCTATGGAACGCTCCCTGTCTTTTGAAAAAATTACTTCTGAAATTCATTTTCAGGTTTTCTCAATCTTGTGATATGTTTTTGCTCTGATTATAATTCATTACTTCTATTTGTTTCTCTCTTTTGTCCTTATCCTCTTATAGAAATGTAGCTCTCACGGTGCGGAGTCAACATAAACAAATCGACAGCAACTTTGTTTAATGTTTCGGCTGACCAGCTTTCTATCTTTCAATGTTGACTTTTTAATTTGAAATGCATTCATAGAAGCTGTTTTCAGTATCCATGTTTCACTACCATGTGCTCCACGATTTTATTGATTTCCCGGAAATATTGATTATGTACCAAAACTTCTTTATGATGTGATTGTTACGCTTGCTGGATTCTCAACTATATTGGAGATTTAATGTTTTGCCCAATTCTTACCCCATATGGGAGATTTGCTCTATTTTCCCCAATTGTTACCTCATACTGGAGATTTGTTCTATTTTGCCCAATTTTTACCCCATATGGGAGATTTGCTGTATTTTCCCCAATTGTTACCACATTACGGGAGATTTGTTCTATTTTGCCCAATTTTCACCCCATACTGGAAATTTTCTCTATATTGCCCAATTGTTTGCTTCAGTTCGGACAGTGACAGCGACAGCAGCGTCAGCTCTGGGCGGGAGGGCTCGGACAAGAAGGACAAGAGGGGGGACAGCAACAAAGCGAAGACGGAGGGCACAAGTGAAACTGACAATGCCCAGAGTGCTGACGTGAAGGAGGAAGGGAAAGAAGAAGGCAGTAAAGAAGAAAAAAATGGTGAGTTTCGAAGCATAATGTGTTTATTAAGAATTACTGTGGTCTATAAGGGTGATTGAGGGCTGTTGCCGTTGTATATCATAACTGACTTTTTGTATTATGTGTGTCATAATGATGAATTCATAAATTATGATCTTTGAATCTATTCTAGAAGTCAATTAAAATGTATCTTTTAAAAATATTTTTTCCAAGATTCACTGTGTTTACGAGTTCTGTTTCTTAAAAAATTACTTTCAAATAACTAATTGATTCTAGTTTTTGTTATAGTTTTAATTTCAGCGATTTATGTACTTTAATTCTCAGCTAATCACAGTTTATGGTCTTTTCAGATGAGACTAAAGCCAAGAAACCAGGAGACTTGGTGGATATGTTTGCGGACACAGAGGACATGTTTAGTGAAAATTACAATGTAAGAAAATTTATATTTGCTGTCTTGTTTTCTTACAATTTGTTATCGAGTTTGGAACATCAAGTTTGTTAACTATCTTAGTGCAGACAGTGCCACTGCAGAAATACCCCCGAGTGGTATTTTCACTTGCAGTCTATGTGTAAAGTACATGTCGTGTTACTTAAGATTGATATAAAAAAAAACTATAGCACATACAAGTATACATCATGGGCCAAAAGTGAATAGGGTCTGAAAAAAAAATGTAATTACCATAAGTAATTATACATAAGGTCTATTTTGACACTCCCTTGGCCCATGAATTGCTATACAAAATTGAGGTGGGTCAACAAATCAGCCAACTTCTTTGTAACAAGGAAAAATTTATGGTATCAGCCTATTTAAGTTTTTCTCTGTGAATGTGTATAGTTTGTCATTTAAGAAAATGCTGTATATTTATATCAGATTTTTAGTTTGTTTTTGTTCCCCCAAAAATAAACTACTCAGCATGTGAATTTAGATCACAGTTTATGAAAAAATGGGGTATATTTTAAAAGTATGTGAAAAACTAAAGCAGAACTCTTTAAGGATCACCTTTTTGTACTGTTATCCGCGTAAACGGCATCAGTGTAACTCAAAATTAGACTACCAGTATGTAAGATGTGAGTCTGGCATAGTATGTTGTGACTGCTGCTGGGAGACCAGCTGGGTCAACAAGGCATATATCGTGTAAACTTCACGAAGAGTAATATATTATTTTATGGTTTTAATTTCATGGTACAATTAAATTTGTAATAATGATATGGGGACTTGATTGGAGAAAGATGCCCAGAACTGACATCTTTTGGAAAGAATTGTTTTGGGTGCTGCTCATTTGGCAGCTAATTGGTTAGAGAGAATAGTATTAAGAAGTAAAAGAAGAAAAGTAACCTCACTTGATCCCTTACTAGCTAATGATAAAGAGAGAAATATTTTACGCAGATGATAGCAATGTGAAATGTTGCTTTAATGGTTTGAATAGAGGCATAAAACTCACGGCTAGAAAAAAGTTTTGTTGAAGATCAGTTTTCTTATAAAATGAAGCTGAGAAATCACACTGGAAGGCAAGCTTCTTGATTTTTCCTTGCATATTGTTCTGTATTGTGCAATCCCCCCCCCCCCCCAAACCCCCAGGGCTCTGTTGACATTCACTCCTTGGCGCTCATATGACCTTATGCAGTTGCAAGCACCGTTAAACCTCTACTAAAACTTGTGCATACCATATGTACTTCTCTTGTCTCAGACTTGAAATATTATTGTTGTTGTTGTGGAGCTGACTCGTTGTACACCTCTCCCCACTTACTCAGACTTGTACATTCTCCAGAGCCCTGGCCTGCGCAGAGGTTTGCTGGGTGTGGCGGAGAATCCCAATCTCACTGACAACTGGGACGACGCTGAGGGATACTACAGTGAGTTGCCCTGTATCCTATATTTTAACGAAATATCTTTTCCCTAGTCCTTTGAGAAATTTGTTTTATGTTTATCTTTTTTTTCCTGGTCCTTTTGAAAAATTGTACCAAAATAGCATTACAAGGCATGCAAGTCCGTCTAGTAACACATAAAAGATACAACAAATCTGCACAATTTTGAAACTAAACACTTTATAGAGGATGTCACCGTGTGCGAACCAACTTTCAAGTTGAGGTTTTAAGTGTCTAACTCAGGGGCACAACATTGTGACTATCAATTTAACTACCCTTGTCACTCAAATATAACTTCTTGTGTAAGCTTTTGTGTGACTGAGTTCTCTCATCTTTTGTCCAATGTCAGTTGTTGTTGTTGTTAGTGATCCAGTAGCATCTGAGTGTCAACTCTTGTGCATGATGCCATTCGGTAATAGCTGCATGTGTGTTCTAATTGTTGTCGTGAGGAGTAGAGGCAATTAGTTGTGTGGGGTAGCTTGGGAAGAAAACATCCCCTTAAATCAGTTAGTTTTCCACAGAAGAACAGATGATGTTCCACTGTCTCTGAGGGGTAGTCACATTGTGGGCAGGCAGCAGACTGCTTTTCTTCAATTCGGTTGAGATGTTGGTTGAGGGGTACATGACATCCAGGGTGAAGTAGAGCTCCTTAATTGGCACCTATTTTAGAAAAAGTCCTGTCTTTGTGAAGAATATGTAAGATTATTGTTGTAATGTAGTTCTAGTATCGTAACTCTATTTGGATGTTTTGGTTGTCTGCTACCTATTTGGTAGAAATTGTCACATTGTGTTATTATTGGTCATTTCTGCCTCTTGATGAATTGTGACTATTGCAATACCTGCTGCTCATTAACAACATTCCGCTGACAACTGTTTGTTTTGGTCTTTGTACTGACAGCTCAAATTGTGACTGTGGGTGGTTGGCGGGTGCTCTGGTGTGGTTTGCTCCTTCTTTCCTATCAAACATCTATCGTCCTTATCTCCCCCTCCTTCTTTTTTTATGTTTGTTACTCTCTTGTAACACCTCTAATCTTCTGGCGCTCATATGACCTTATGCAGTTGCGAGCTCTGTGAAATCTCTACTAAAACTAAACTAAATTGTGACTTGAGGATGCACATGAAAGGTTTCACTATGGACATTGTAAGAAATCAGAAAATGGAAAAGAAAAATTTCTGACTATGGATACACGGAATAGGATGACTGTTTTTGTGAATAGACAGCATAGTATGAACAATTTTTGTGCATTGAAAAATATTTCACTATCCACAGGGGTGAGGATCGGTGAAGTTCTGGACAAACGTTACTCTGTGTTTGCGTACAAGGGCCAGGGCATGTTCAGTAATGTGATGTTGTGTCGCGATGCTGCTCGGAGCAACTCGGAGGTGGCCATCAAGGTCATCAGGAACAATGAAATGATGTGAGTACATTGAGACAACAGCTACAGGTCTTTGCTTGTTTGCAGGCGCGTGGGTCTCCTCAGAAATTAGAATGAATTTAGTTGGGGTTTTTTTAGCTACAGAATGGTCAAAGATCCAATCAGTGAGTTGAGGAGGGGAGATCAATCCATAATCTTCCAACTTAAAACACAACATGTACCCCTCAACCTACATCTCAACCGAATTTGAGTAAAGCAGTCTGCTGCCTGCCCACTATGTGACTACCCCTCAGAGACAGTTCTTCTGTAGAAAACTAACTGATTTAATGGGATGTTTTCTTCCCAAGCTACCCCACACATCTAATTGCCTCTTCTCCTCAAGACAACAATTAGAACAAACATGCAATTATTACCGAATGGCATCATGCAGAAGAGTTAACGCTCAGATGCTACTGGATCGCTAACAACAACAACGACAACAGCTACAGAATGAAAGTTCAAGTTTATTTTGTTTGGTTAATATAGTGGGATGCTTTGAATTATTTTTGGAGAAGAAATTTGTATTCTATTTAAAGAACCTGGACATGGAAATGTATAAGAAATAAGCTTAAGTTCACATTTTTTTGTCGTTTTAATGAAAGTGTTTATAAGGTAGAATTTAATTATTCTCGTGAATGCACTTCTTTTTATGAGATTGAACAAAGTAACATCTTACTTCATTTGGTCAGTATCGTCTTATTTCATTTGGTCAGTATCGTCTTATTCATTTGGTCAGTATCGTCTTATTTCATTTGGTCAGTAACGTCTTATTTCATTTGGTCAGTAACGTCTTATTTCATTTGGTCAGTAACATCTTATTTCATTTGGTCAGTAACATCTTATTTCATTTGGTCAGGCTGAAGACAGGCATGAAGGAGCTGGAGTTCCTGCGTAAGCTCAACGATGCTGACCCTGACGACAAGTACCACTGCCTGCGTCTCTACAGACACTTCTTCCACAAGCAGCATTTGTGTTTGGTGTTTGAGCCGCTCAGGTAAAAGTCTTTCTATTACTTACTTAGGTCTGTGGCCTGTCCTTACTATGATTAGGCTCATTTTTCCCCTGACGCAGTGACATTTGTAATAAACATAGCTGCCACTTTTCCGCTAAATAGCGGAAACTCCGCTTCATCTAGCTTTTCCCGCTACTTTCCACCTTCCTCCGCGGGACCACTCTCGGTCGCAAATTGCGATACTTTTTTACACGCGGAAAACACCGAACCGGGAGAGAGACGAAAACGCAGCTTGCGCATGTCCGCCCGTAGCTTTCTACTTCCGTTCTTCTAGGCCCAGCGCTAGTTTCACTTTGTTTATTGTGGAGCAACAAAGTGTCGATCTGGCATCGGGACGTTAGCGCGCCGAGTTGTCATTGAAAACGGCGGAAATTCGAGAGAAGTTGATGCAGAATGCAAAAATAATTATACACGGCTGTTCAGTTTCACTCTCCGAGCGGCGCACTTAGTTGTAGCCCGTCTGACCCTTCTGACCCCTGTGACCCCTCGCGGAAGGTAATAAATCTCGACGCGTTACGCCACTTCCACCGGCCTATCCCTAGATCTGACCGCTCCGCGCGGTAAGGGTACAATTTCCAGAAATTAACTGGAATTTACAACATAGTACTCCCTTTCTCCATCCCGTAAACCTAGGAGTGTTGTATACTAAATAAAAGCTCAGCATCTCCTCTATAACCCGCAGTTTGAAACCAGTTTCTATCTCGTTTTATACTCCCTTGGGATACCTATATACTACCACTGTTGTACAGCTCTGTGTTATTGAAGTTTTTGGATTTAAAAGAGAATTTTGATAATTCGAGCCGACAATTTTTGTTTTAACCTTCATATTTCTTTTTATAAATCTATTCTCTCCATTGTGCTGAAAAAATCTCAGAGTAGGAGCTAAATTTCCATGAACTAGCGCACTTTATGTGACTAGTCTAGTGCAACGCTCAGTGCAAAGAAAAACTCTGTGAAGCGGGAACTTGCCGTCTGACTTTCTTGTGTGTTTATAATTATTGAGCCTTTTAACATCAAAGATGGAACACTCTTATAACATCCACTTTGAGAATTTAAACAAGTTGTGTCGTACTTGTGGTGAAAGAAGTTTAAAAACTAAAGTTTCTCAGCAGCGTCGATTTTTGTGTAAAAACTTTAAGTTTGACTTATTGCAATATTATAGACTGAACATTGACAACGACACAGCCGACAAGCATTCCAACACTCTGTGCAGGAAATGTGGCTCGCGAATATACACACTACGGAAGCAAATTACAAATGCGGCTTTGAAGGCCGCACAGAAATGTGTAGAAGACAGTGCCTATGTTTGGTCCGCTTACGACGCAAGCATAAGCATTAACGAGTGCTCTGTGTGTGCTCGCTATGTTAAACTTAGCAAAGGGTGCATTAAAGAGCGCATTCCTTTGCTTACGGAAGGACACGAGTTGCGTTCTCCGCCCACCGCTCGTATGGCAGTGGAGTCTGCAAGCATAACGGATACCCCCACCCCAGATGTTTCCACTGTAAGTACAGGCGATGGTGCTCAGCCCTTTACCACTCAATCCATTGACAGCACATTTACACATACAGACGAAGACTCATTTTACATTTCACCAGAAACTCATATTTTGACATCCACACCTAAAACGAAGACGAAACAGTTCACAGACAGTACCAGCTCCCCATTAGTCAAACATGAAACGACAATAGAGTCAACACTTTTGAAATCTGACACAGAGCCACTCACACCGTTAGAAGAAAAAGTTGCTACACATCTGATCAGACGAAAGCTTAACACATCTCAGACGAAAGGACAGTTGAGGTTCAAAACAAAAGGACAGCCATTAGTGTTTCAGAGGATAGTCACACACAGAATATCATCTGACTAAACAGTTTTATAGTAGTATGTTTATCAAAATATTGACTATAGTAACATCAATTCAGCTGTGAAGGTGTAAAGAACGGTCTTCATTCTCATGTGAAAAGTACTCGTGCGTTGGCTGGACTCAACTGTTTTCCCACTCACTGACAAGACTGTGTGCATTAATCAACAATAGCAACAAGACTTTTTGGTCCTACCTCATAAACGTAAGTGTGTTTGAAAGTTCAAAGTCTGACTGTGAGCTGAAAATGAAGACTGTAACAATCTGTCGGTCCATTTATTTTTAATTATTTTTTTAAAAACATTTTTGTTTGTAATAACCGATCTATGATGAAAGCCACTTTCCCCCTCTTTTAAACAACACTTTCTTTTACTTCTCCGTGATAAAAATAATACTGTCGTAAACTACACCTTCGTCTTCATGTGATCATTTGGTTGTTGTTTCATTGACTTTCTCGGCTTTCATAAGAACTGGTGTTGTTTTATGTGTACAAAACATAACATCGCGGGGGAGCCGCTGACCGCGAGGCCGAGTGCCCGCAGGTAGCGTAACCGGGGCGTGACCTCGTCTCGGAGGTCAGGTCGACCGGCAACTAAGAGATCCTGAGTGGAACAGCCGTGTATAAGGAGCTCCGCTTGCTGCACTTTACGTTTGGTGCGATAAAGAAATCGCGGCCCGCGGCACTCCTGTACAATTGCGGTCCCGTTTGTTTACATGACGGCTATTGTGGCTGTTGAAGTGAATCTAGATCTAGATCTAGATAATCTATCTCTAGATCTAGATATAATCTAGATTTACACATATTTAGATATCTAGATCTAGATTAGATAGCCTAGGCTGTAATTTTAATTCAGGTTAGATCTACACTCTACAGAGGGACTATACTAAGTTAAGTGCAAACGGGACCGCAATTGTACAGGAGTGCTCAGTACAGCGGCAAAGGTGTTGCCTCTTTGATCCTATACTGCGCGCGCTCTACATCGATGTACAAGTTTAAAGAGAAAGAAATCTTTTTATAAGACACCAGCTTGCAACAGACTCTGGATTTTTAGTCACCAAGTCCAAACTGTGTCAAATTGACTCAAATGCTTGTTAGTCTACTTAGTGCCTTTGTTGGTTTTTTTTTTTTTTCCAAATACATTTTAATTCTGTTGCCTATGGTTAACAAATATGACAGTTTTTCCTTCCAAAACCATAGGCTACATTTTCCAGTATATATTGCCTCTGGATCTCACTGGTTTTACTCCAGCCTTCGGAGAGCGCGCGTCCGCGTTCGCATGAATTTCCTCCTTTTTTTAAATTCCTGAGTGGCAGCTATGAATAAACTACTTATGTTGACCCTAATACGGGGTGCCCACTACGGATGGAATCGGCCGATCGCCCGACTCGATCGCCTGAAACTGAAAACAAACACGTTTGTTTTTGAGGCGATCAAGTCGGGCGATCGGCCCCATAGGCCGATCCCATCCGTAGTGGGCACCCCGTATAAACCTTGGGTCGTATACTCTTATTTTGTGGTTTGGTGTCTTATGGATAAGTGTTGTTTGATATATCAGGTTTTACAGTAAAATTGTTGGAAAAATTTGTTAGTCCTATTTCCTGTTACAAGAGGGTAGTTGGAGAGTTTTGAAAATTTGGTTTGCCCCTCTTTGTCATTTTACTCTTGTGTTATTGTAGTGAAAGCTGTCTGGCTTAAAAATGTATTGAGTTTGGATTAAATGACAGTTTTAGAAATAAAGTATAGATTTTGTAAATCTAATTTCAATAGTTTTTTTTTTTTTTGATGATTCATGAAATATCACATGCTGCTTATTTAGAGTTACAGGTATTGTGGCTTTAGAAAATTTTACGTGTGATATCATTATAGTCCAAAATATTCCCCAGAACTCTTTGAGGTACATCTGAAAACAGTGTCTGCATACTATTATATTTTTTTTATTTCAGTATGAACCTGCGTGAAGTGTTGAAGAAATATGGCAAAGACATAGGTCTGCACATCAAAGCTGTCCGGTCCTACAGTCAGCAACTCCTGCTTGCCTTGAAACTGTTGCGGAAATGCAGCATCCTGCATGCAGATATCAAACCAGACAACATCCTGGTAAGCAAAATTTTTATACTGTGTTGGGTTGGGGGTGTTGTGTGTATGACGCATGTCTGTCCTGCATTAGTTTGAAATGACACAAGAATGTCAAGAGCAGCTGGTCTGTGAAAATGACGAGGTCATGGAAAGTACTGGGATTGACTTGGAGTATCTTCCTGAAAATCTGCCATTTACTCCAGAGAAATACCTTAGTAAAATATTTTTATTTATTTATCGAGGAACTTAGACTTCACAGAAAAATATTAAGCATGGAAATTCTTCTTTGTTGGCTTTAGTCTCCCGTTTGGAGTGATGCCATGTCTTGACTTGTGAGCTAGCCTCGAAATAGAGATTGGATAGACAAGAGGGCATAAAAGTGTTTAAAAACTATCTTGTCTTAAAAAATCCAGACAAGCTTGTGCCTGAGAGTCACGACAGAAGTTTGTGTGTGGAATAAAGACGTAGGCTTGTTTTGCCTGTTAATGTATGCCATTTTTGTGTACAATGCTGGTGTTTCAATGCCTTATCATTCACAGTTCCTGAATTCTCCTTTTTCTGGATTTGTTCATGGAAAGCAGCACCTGTCTTTATGTAAGGCACCTAATGGGACCAGGTATAAAGATGCCAATATCCTGCTTGCGGTGAAAAAAATATTGCTCCTAATTGCATAGAGAAACAGCACACAGTTTGGTAATTTAAAGCTGAGAATTACTGTGTGCAAATTCCATCTCTGAACAAACTCCTTGAGTTTTAAGTCAGACAGTGTTTTGCTTAAGTTGATCAGTTTTATTGTTTCCTGTACCCTCCGATATGTAGCAGAGATGTTCTTTGTAACCTTTTGTTTCATTCTACAGGTGAACGAGTCTAAAATGGTTTTGAAGCTTTGTGACTTTGGTTCGGCATCACATGTATCAGAGAATGATATCACCCCGTACCTGGTCAGCCGTTTCTACCGAGCACCAGAAATCAGTAAGTCTATGTGACTTTGATAAATATGATTGTCCTTATAAACTAAACTTAAGGGGTGGTTGGCGGGTGTTCTGATGTGGTTTGCTCCTACTTTCCTATCGAACATCTATTATCCTTATCTCTCCTCCTTCTTTTCTGTGTTTGTTACTTGTAACACCTCTAATTTTCAGCACTGATATGATCTTATTTTGTTGTAAGTGCTGTAAGACTCTTTCTTAAAATTGAAACTTGCTAAAGCTGTCCCCATGGTTTTATGCACCGCGCATGATTTAGCAAAATTTGATCTTTATTTGCATAATTTCTGATTATTTTCCTCAGTCTTTGTTGAAATTAACAGAATCCCATAATTTCATATTTTTGGACTCAGTTTGCATAATTTCAGAATTTTTCTGGCATAAAACGATGGGGACAGCTAAACATAATTTCTGTAGGATTGTTGTTGTTTTTGTTGTTATCGATCCAGCAACAGCTGGGCTCTCGCCCTTCTGTCCAATGCCATGTAGTGATAAGTGCAGGTCTGCTGCAGTTGCTGTAATGTTCCAAAGAGTGTGTTGTCAATGTTAGGTTTCGGAGGGAGAAGGGTAGCTCTGATGTCATTTAGGGCTGTGCAGTGAGTGGAACAGGTGATGATCCACAGTCTCATATGCATAGTCACACAAGGGACACATTGGGGGAAGTTCCGGGCTCAGCTGGATTAAAAAGTCTTGAAAAGTGAGTACATCTGTCTTGCTAGGCCTCAAGACAAATTCAAAATTTTAAGTTTATTGACAAGAATATAAAGCAAGAAGTGAAGTGTTACATCACAATGAAAGTAACTCCTTAATGTATCTGTCCTGGCTAGTTCTTGGACTGGGTTATGACCACAACATCGACACCTGGTCGGTGGGCTGCACGCTGTACGAGCTGTACACAGGTAAGATCCTCTTCCCCGGCACCAGCAACAACGACATGCTCAAGACCATCATGGACTACAAGGGTCGGATCCCCAACAAGATGATCCGCAAGGGCATGTTCAAGGAGCAGCACTTTGACTCCTCCTACAACTTCCTGCACCACGAGATGGACAAGGTCACCCAGCGGGTCAGTTCACCTCTCTTCTTTTCCTTGATTTTGGTGTTATGTCAGTTATCTTGTCAGTATGTTAGTGTTTTAGGGCCTATATGGCTGCTTGCACTGTATGCTTCCCCGGAACTTGAGGTTGTTTCAGAATGCTGTCAGGTCTGCTGGGGTATAGTATAGATTGTGAAGCGCATAGAGCTTGCTGTTGAGCAGGGATTTGTGCTGTACAAATGCTATCTATTATTATTGTGTGTGAGATGTTATAAGGCCTTTGCTTGTTGAAACATAATGATAGTGTTATGCTCTATCAGTGCAGTGTACCTGGAAGAAATGATATTGTCTACTTTTGTGTTTGCTCTAAAACTGTTGCCGTGATTGATTGATATGTGTGTGGGTCCTCAGTAAAATTCAGGGGTCAGCAAACAAATGAAAAGTGTATGAGTACTTGTGTGTGTGTGTGTGTATATGGGTGTGTGGATTTGTGTGTGTGTGTATATATGAGTGTGTGGATTTGTGTGTGTGTGTGTCGCGTGCATGAATATTGTTCTTACAAGCATTTATGTAAAGCGCCTAGAGCTGTGTTTACACGGGAGTGGGCGCTAAAGAAATGATCTTCATTATTATTATTATTACTGCATATTGACTTTTTGTTTCTTATCTCATCACTGAAATCCAAAATTATTTTTCTAGTCTCTTGAGACGTTTTCAAGAAAGCAGTTGCTCAGTTAGACTTGGAGATAATTGGTTTTGACACATATCTCTCTTGGATGCTGTGGCGCTCACATGACCATATGCAGTTGCGAGCGCCGTACAAGCTTACTAAAACTAAAACTCTTTGATACCGTTTGCAACTCTGCATTCAACTCGATGAGAATTTTCCTTGTTGTGCTGATGAGCGTGCTGATGAGCGCTTCTCCTTGTATTTCTTTTCTGTGTTACTAGCTCAGTTCTCTTAATCTTGTCTTTTGTGAATTGTGGCCCTTGCTACGATGATGCTTCTCGGGCTTTAACTCAATGTCAAAAATAAGCTTTGAAAAGGGCGGTGATTGGTGCTTTTTGTGTAGATTTTGGTGACTGGTAAAATTTGATTTTTAATTTAGTTAAAACTGGATCGCTAACTACAACAACAATTTTGTTTAAAAAATTGAATCTATAACTTTAACACAATAATTTTCTATGTGTTGTTATGTTTGGTTTGTTATTTTTTAAAAATCCAATTTTTGAAATCGGGTGTATCGAAAGCTCTGGTCTTGTTAATAATCTCAAATTTGATATGTCTTGTCTCATTCTGTATATGTCATCTTGTTTCCACAATCAGCATGTACATTGTCCGGTAAAAGTAACAGGTTTTCGTATATATTTCCAAGTTGATGCTGTCATGATCTCCTGGCGTGTTGCATTGACTTGTCATTAGCTCAGTTGGTAAGACACTGGTAGTTTTTGTATGCTTTGCCAATATGGGACGTCTTTCTAAATCAAGAAGAAATTGACAAATTTTATTTAGTCTCTCGTACTATTGTACTGAAAGTGTTTTTGTACATCCAACGCCTTTTGGAAGAGGTGGGGTAGAAATATCAGTCTCAGCATGAGTCTTTTTCTGGTGCTGGTGTGACATCTTTTATTGTTTAGATATGTTAATGATCGGATGGTAGAGATTACGGAACATATTTACTTTTCTTGAACTTCCAGACGCTTATTCAGTTGAGTTCTTTGTGCCTGTGGCTAAGAATCCTTCCCCCCCTCCCCCCCCCCTCAAAAGTTTTTTTTTGCAATATAGAAATCTTGACATTTTCCACTTTGTTTTTTTTCTTTTCTCCTGAGCATTGTTCATTGTTTTTATTTTTCCAAACCATTTCAGGAGAAAGTGACTGTCCTGACGTCCATCAACGCCACCAAGGATATGTTGGCCGACATGGTTCCCTTTGGTCGGGTGCCTGAGGACCAATTGCGCAAAGTGACACAGCTCAAGGACCTCCTGGAGAAACTTCTCACCGTGGACCCATCCAAACGCTTGGGCAACAGTCAGTCTCTGACACATCCCTTCATCTCTGAGAAGATCTGATAAGTGTATGTTGATCTGTCCAACAGACAGAGGCATTGATGTATGCACCTTCAGACTATGTTGGGTAGGACAAAAGACAGAATGTGGGTGTACGTTAGTCTCTCATGCTCACACACGCACACACAAGTGCGCGCACGTGCACACACAAACACACACACACACATACACACACACACACACTCTCACACAGAACTTAATACGCCCCCCTCAGTCCGCGTGGAGTATAACAAAAGAGAAAGTGTTGGTGTTTGTCTCATTCAACCACACACACACACACACACACACATACACACACACACACACCTTTGTATGTCCCCACCAACTGTGTGGGGGAAGACAGAGGAGATTGGATGCATGTTGATGAATCACGTATATGGTCTCACAGATCATCATACACACCCAGATTAAGTGAAGTAAAATGAAGATCCGAATTTGTGCTCAGTCTGCTGCCGCTCGGATTGCATTCTGCCTTTATGTAATGTATGTGTCGTAATATTTTATTTTTTTTAAAAGGAAGTTTTATGTTCCCAACTCTTAACTGTTTATGAACTTTGATGTTGCAAAGTCTTTGGGATTGCTAAGGGACATGAGTGGTGCGGGGAAAGTTATGATTACTGCTGTAGTATTGCACGTTCACAAGTTTATGTTGTTTTATTTTTGGCACAGTACAATTTCTGTGGCAAAAGTGATGAGATCTCAAAAAATTAATCTTGTATTGAAATATTTAGAATGCAGAACAGTTGCGATTTTGTAGTTTTTAAAATTTGGACGTTTGGCTAAACTGTTGAAGAGTGCATTGCTTTACAATTTTCTTCTTTGTGCAAAATTTCTTAATGGTTCTGCTGATTATTTCTGAGATTACTGGTTATTTCTTATACTGCTTATCTAAGTATTTCTTTGCAAGCAGTGCAATCTCTGAGCACTCAATGACACAGAGAGGACTCGTTGCTAGTGCAGTGTGATGGCTGGCTTCCATGAAGCAGATTTAGGAACTGTAGGTGCCTGATGGAGGGTCCTAGTCTTAATTTCTTCTTGTAGGGTTGGAAGTTTTTTCTTCTCAGTATTCGTCTAGGCTAGTTGTCTCCCTGGTGTCCAGTGGTGAGTGTTGTGTAAATACTCTCGTATGTTCCTTTTTATGCTTGAAGTCAAAAGTGTTAAGTATTAAGTACCATATTTTAAAAAAAAAGAACAACAAAAAACTGTAAGCTTATTTCAGGGCTGCAAAGTGTGCGTGTAGGGGATTTGTACATTTTTGTCTTTATGAAAAAGGGGGTGGGGTGGTGGTGGTTGTTATTGAGTTTCATTAAGCCCTTATTTGATTTTGCTCAGTGTGGATGAGACTGAAGTTGTTGACATTTGAGCGGTTGTGCGATTGAGTTTGATGATTATGTTGTTCTAAAGAGATTGGATGAAATAAGAATACACAAGTTTGTTTGAAGCCCTCCTGAACTCCTCAGAGTTGGGATCAAAACCATACTGTTTCTGGTTTCACCTTTTGTCTTGCAGCCTGTTGCCAGTGAGCCTGAGCATCAATCTGTTTGTGGCGAGGATTTATTGCCTTGGGCTGCCCTTGTGAGACAGTTAACATGCTGGTGTACATTCCATTAACTTGCAAGTGTGGAAGTTTGTTTTCTTTTTGCTTGTGCTTCTGTCATTTTTGGAACCTCTCGTCCACAAAGTTAACTGGTTTGGGGATGCTGAAAAGTGTAAAGTCTTGAATCGTGAATAACTTCACATAAAAGTTTCACTTCAAAGCATTTAAGCTTGCTTTCTATTGGTACAAAGCTGTATGAGGGCATTGAAAGGGAAGAGGGAAAAGTTACATTATTTTGAATTGTTAATTTGTTTTATGGGGTTCTATTTCTTTAAATTGACTCTGTGGTTATTTAGAGATTATTCTGGAATAACAGCCAAGACAGGGCTGTATAAAAAGTAAGCTGATAGCTCCGTCATTTGTTTTTTGTTATTTATGTATGCTCTTTGGAGTATTCAGTTTTGTTATGTAAATGATATTTGTTGAATGACGTACCATGTACATTGGAAGTGGATTTGGTTGAGTGTATTCCAACTTCAAACTGTCAGTCCCAGTAAAAGAAGGTGGGACTTGCTATAAAGTTATGGTGGGTTTGTGGTATCATTATGTGCTGTTTTCAACATTAGTCTTTTGCCCTGTTTTTCTTTTCCTCATGCAATTGGAGCCATTGCCTTCACTTGAGCCTGTGGTTTCGGCAACTGCTGGCAGGGTCATCTTGCATTATTGTCGTGGACCAGTGTGTGTCGAGGCCATCGCCACCTGTCAGATCGAAGGTGTTCTTGATGATCTGTAGTATGTCATACGGAGTGTTTTAATCTGTTTGTTGAAACTATAGCTTTCTACACCATTTTTAGTCTGGAAAAGTCTGAAAAGTCCTTCATTGATGGTCAGCTAAATCTTTGCTCTTTTGGGAAATAGAGGTCATGTTAAAATTGAATTTTTGTGATGACTTTACATAGTAAAAAGCTGTCTTTGAAGTATTGGATTTAGTTAATATAAGTAGTTATTTTGCTCAGGCCTCTTTCTTATTTAATTGTTGTTGACAAAAGCTGTTATATATTGACTAGGATTTAAAGCATTAGTTACAGTTCATAAAATCACAAATGTTTAACACATTACACCCTAAGGGCCTGGACGGGAAGTCAATTCCTAGATCCTAAGCAAGGGGAAGGAACCCACCCCCCAACGAAAGAAGAAACTTTTTGCTATGACTATGCAAATCAGAGTCTCGTCAAGGCGAGACTCGTTTCTAAAGACGCTAGGTCGGCGCGGGCGAGTCAGGGTGGAGCGCTTAAGGGAATTCCCGGGCGATCCCGGGCCTGTTAGGGTGTAATGTGTTGAGCAGAAAATGCAAAGTCTTTTATTTGTACATGGAGAAATGTACAGACTCAATGCTGCATACTTAAGTTTTGTTGTTGGCCCCCATTTACTTGACCAGAGAATTATTTAAGTTTGCTTTCTGCGAATACAAATGTTCATGTTCATCGGACATAAAATATGTTTCAAATGTAGTGGTGAGAGAAGAATGTTATCACCATTGGCGTTTGTTTTCATTTTTTGGTTTCTCATTATTGACTTATGAGAATTGAACATTTTGAGCTCAAGAAAAAGAAGGATCTGGCTTGCGAATCCTATGTCGTTCTTTTTATTGCAAAAAGTTGATCGTGTTATTTTTTCCTTAAAGTAGAGATTTTTAAAAAAATGCTCCATGTGCTGGCCTTCTATTCCTAGATACTTTGCAGCAGCCATTGGTTCTTGCTTTTGCAATTTAGTTCTGATAGTCATGATGTACAGCAAAGTGACATCTTTGTTCATTTTCCGCCTGAAAGCATTTTGAAAGACGATTTTTTTTTCCCTGGTCACCGTTTAGATGAGAAGTGACTGAAAGTATATGTGGTACATACACAAAGATGTTTTTACCCTGCCAAGTTCAACATGTTCTTGATTTTGTTTGGCACTGTCCTGTTTATCTGAGATTATTTTTTAGATAAATTTACAGTACCAAAAGTGTAAGGGTCACATGTTACCGTATATATACATTGCCATCTTTCACGCCTGTCTTCATTTGCTCATGATTTTAAAAAAATTTTTTGTGTGGTTTTGTTTGTTTTTTGCATCCCATAATTTTTATTGCAAATGATTTTTCTAACCAGGCCTGCATTTCTCTCATAGGTGAAGGTTCTGCAGATGATGACAGCGAGCTCTTAAAGGTTATGATTAACTCAGACCCTTGTCGTTTTTATGTGTTTGTATGAGATAGAAACATTCATGCTGTTCATTAATTAAAGAAAGACTCATTTTTTCCATACTCAAGACAGTAACTAGGGAAATAGAGACGTTTGTTGCACGTGCTTAGCCGTGGTAAATTGTGTTAGAAGGGGAAATATGAGGAGCATTTCTTTCTTTTTGTTTTGTTTTTTCTAATTTTCTAAAACTGTTTCCCCTTGGGTTTTCTTGGATACTTCAAAATTATGTGGGGTGAGTGTAAGGGGGAAAAAAAGATAATGTGAAGAGTGTGCTTGGAGAGAATGGGGGGGGGGGGGGGTTAGTAGAAAGATTTTGAGATTCTGAACAAAGCAGGATTTTGGGCAACTTGACATTGCAAAATGAAGATAAAAAGTTAAAAATTCGTGGGAAAAAATGTTTTAGTGTGTGTGGGGGGGGAGGGGGGGGGGGAGACACTTTAAGGTAATTTTCATGAGAATTAGTTTCTATGAAATCTATGTGTTTGTTCTGTTCTTCCTTCTGTCCTGTGTCCCACTTCAGGTTCTTGCTCCTGTCTATAGTTCTCCAACACATACAGTGCTTTTTACAAAAATTCAATCAACTTGAGCACATGGTTTGCTAAACGTTTTTTACAAACTTCAAACTCTGAGCATGGCTTCAACTGTGATTTCTTCATTTTAGCCAAAAAAAAAAAAAAAATTGTTTAAGAAAAGAAGTAATGCCTACAGCTCAAACATTATGGATGTATGATTGTATTTTTTAAATGAAGGAGAGAAAAATTATGGAAGAAAATGAGGTTTCATTGCTCAAAATACTAGCCAGTGTAAAAGTTTTCTTCGTCTGGAAGAATGATGGTAATCGCGTTGGTGAAGCCTTCTCCTTTTTATGCGCTTGATCTAGGATGTGTTGTAGAGCTATGGCAGGCCGCCAGTGGCACATGTTCTCTCATGACTTTGCTTTCATTGTTTCAGGTAAGTGGATGAAGATGAAGATGTGTGTGGCCGAGAGAAGCCCTCCCAGTTGATGGCACAACACACAGGGGCATTGTGTGTTCCCAGTGGCGCAGTGAGAGCTTTGTGTATTGTGTGTGTGTGTGTGTGTGTGTGTGAGTGTGTGTGTGTACTGCAAGCAGCTGGTCCTTTAGGACCAGGTCAGGGCATGCTGGCAGGTTAAAGTGCAGAGTTTTCTGGAAGTGATCTTGTCATATTTTCGGGTGAATCCTTCTTTTGTTATTTGATTAAATACAGTGTATGTTATCTTGTCAGATGTACAGTTCATGAGATGAATTAAAGTAAGATTTGACTTTTTGAACTAAATGCCTTGTTGTCATGTATGTTTACATGTTTGGTTTGGTGCTTTTTCTTTCAATGAGCCATTTTGATAATAACTTTAATACTTGCAAAATATCACACACAGAGTCGTTTTACACCTGAGGAGGTCTTGTACTGTCTTCTATTGGACACGGCAATAAATCAGTTAACCCTATCCCTATGCCCTGGGGTCATTTTGTACCATCGGGGTTGTATTCTTCACATTTTAGAATACATCTAATATGAAAGTCTCTTTGAAACTTTCAGTATTTCTCAATCATTTTGACAGACTGCTACGAATCGGATTAACAAGTAAATTTCCTCTTTTAAAAGTGGTGGCTCAGAGTTTCCCACACCGTATGGATACGATAGTAAAACAAGACGTACGGATAGGGTTAAAGACAACAGTAAGCTCCATGGAAGTGATCAGCATGTTATGCAACCAGTTAATGATTTGTGTCTTACCTCTGGGATTCCCAAAGGGGGGACATTTCTCGTTCAAGCACAGTAGAATTGTAAATGGGCCGATTCATGTCACGCTCATAACTGTGCCTGATCTGCAACAGGGAACTGCTGCTTTTTCTTTCCTAATCCTCACTGTTGTCATTTTTCCTCTTTTGTATGTTTGTCACTCTCTTGTGACCTGCTATTTTTGGGGTGCCTTGATAGTCGAAGCAGACTTTGTGCTGTTGAAGCTAGAGAGGTGAGCAGAATAAATCTGATTCCCTGTACTGTAAAGGCTTCTCTGTTGTCTTGACATCCACCCCTTGGCGCTCATATGACCTTATGCAGTTGCGATCGCCGTAAAACCCTCTACTATTAATTATTACAGTCTCTGTTGTGAGGAACTGTTCCTGTGTCACTGTTGTTTTTTCCCTCATCTGTCTTTTTTTCATGCTCTTTGTTAACTCTTCTATTTCTGTGTTATTTGCTCTTTGCTCCTCTTTCTCTCTTTCGTTCTCTCTATGGTCTCCAGTCTGTTTTGTCCTTTTCTTCCTTCTAGTGTTTTCTCTTTCATCCTTTTTGTCTCTGTGTTTTCAGTCATTCCCTCTCTCTTTCTGGTGTTCTCTCTGTAGTCCTGTCCATCTCTCTTCTGTTTTTTTCTGTCTATTAACTCTCAGTTCCTCTGTCACACTCACACTCTCTGTCTTTGTGTACTCTCCTCCACCTCTCTGTAGTACTCTTGTGTCTTTCTGTCACCTTCTTTCTCTCCAGGTCTGTCGTGGAGTGGGTGGTTGGCGGGTGCTCTGGTGTGGTTTGCTCCTTCTTTCCTATCAAACATCTATCGTCCTTATCTCTCCTCTTTCTTTTTTGTGTTTGTTACTCTCTTGTAACACCTCTAATCTTCGGCACTTATATGACCTTATTGTGTTGCAAGTACTGTAAAACACTTACCGAAACTAACTTTCTCTGCAGGTCTGTCTGTTGTCCAGTCTGTCTCTAGTCACTCTCCTAACTTATTGGCATCTGTGGTTTAAGTGTAATTATCAGGCACAAGACAGGGAATTCATGGATGAATGAGTTCAATTCTACAGTGGGGAAATTTGGTATGATCGAGTGTCTTCCCCTGTCTTCTGTGATCCACACAGCCTGGGTTGTCCCTCAAAGACTGGGTTGTACTTGCTGCAGCCAACTTCCTATTGTGTATGATCTAGAATTTGTCAATGGGAATGTAACACTTTTCTTTTTCTTCTTGGATTTACTTGGATCCAGAGCTAGAATCATAGTAGGCGGCACATGTCCATAGCTGCTCATCTCTCCTCTCCAGCATCCACCTCAGGGTCTTCCTGCTAATTGTCTCCATGAGGAGCTGGTTTGAGACACGCCTGACCACTCCTCGGAGCAAACTTTTTTTCGCTGTGCCCCGCACACACTTTTCTTTTATTGTGCTGAATGTGGGAGTCTGACTCCTCTTGGTCGTGAAGGCTCTCCTTGCATCTGGCGATCACCATTGGTGGGACGAGCATGATTCGGCCATTGAGTGCTGCTTTGCCGGCAAGTTCATCAGCACGCTCATTTCCGTGCACCCCGGCGTGACCAGGGCAGAACACCCATGTGATTCTTAGGAGGTGGCTATTTGCAATGGAAGCTCTCCAGTCACTGTAGAGCCACCCACTCCTGATGTTTAAAATTTTTTTTTCTGATAGGGACCTGTGTTTCATTTACGCTCCATGGCAGCTCGTATGTAGCTTTTGTTTTGTCCGTGTGTTGTCTCAGAACATTGTCAGGCTTTTAAAGAATTACATCTACTTAGTTTTATTAGTATAGAAGAACATTTTGCTTTGCTCGGTCAGACATCTCCTTGGGAAAGACATCTTACATGAATTTCCTGTTTGGCTTGGTCGTTTTGGAGATGGATATTTAACTCGGAGGTCATGCCTCTTTATTAAACCCATCTGTACCACTTCACTGCTAAGAGATTGTAATGTACATATATGTATCACCTCACTCACAAACTACACACTCCTACTCCCAAAAATAGATAGGCTACACCAGAAAATTTGCACCTTAACTGAAACGGGATAATATCGTGTTCGCATGGATACCATGTGGGCATCCGAGGAAATGAGCAGGTAGACGACCTGGCGAAGAAATCCTTATCCCTTCTGCTGGGATCAACGAAGAACACTCTCCCACAGACTGACTGTAAAAATAAAGTAAAATAGTACACCTCCAGCCTGTGGGAGAGCCACGGGAAAAAACAGACGAGTAACAAACTCCACAATATTAAACCCAAACTGGGACCGCGAAATCCTCCGGACGTCTCCAGAAGAGACGAAGTCATTTTTACTCAATTACGCATCGGACACACGGTTCTGACACACAAATACCTCCTTCAGGGATCTGGGAGATGAGAAGCCGTTCTGTGTCGGATGCGACATAGATTTTACCATTAGACACATTTTAACCGAATGTCTAGACTTCGGAGAGACCTGAAGGAAATACTTTAAATGCAAAAAATTGCAAGATATTTTTTCTGTCATTGATTCCAACAGAATTTTGGATTTTATGAACGTCATTGGCCTTTATGGGAAATTGTAGAGCAAAATTGAATTATTACAAATTGTTATGTTATTTAGGAAAGTTGTTTTAGATTGAAAATATATATTTACACCGAATTTTAAACCTTTTAAAGATCAGAATCTACTGACCTGTACCCAGCCGTATAGTGAACTGCGAATAAAACTCACTTGTGTTTCGCGCGCTCATATGACCTTACGCCTTATGCAGTTGCGAGCGCCGTAAAACCCCATACTAAATTTTTTTTTTAAAGTATCATTTTGCTGCCATTGAAGAGGTTGTGCACATGTACCCATACAATCTTGGTACCTTTGAAGAAGTTGTACATACGTACCATCACACTACCGTTGAAGAGGTACACAGTATACCATCACACTACCGTTGAAGAGGTACACAGTATGCCATCACACTACCGTTGAAGAGGTACACAGTATACCATCACACTACCGTTGAAGAGGTACACAGTATACCATCACACTACCGTTGAAGAGGTACACAGTATACCATCACACTACCGTTGAAGAGGTACACAGTATACCATCACACTACCGTTAAAGAGGTGCACAGTATGCCATCACACTACCGTTAAAGAGGTACACAGTATGCCATCACACTACCGTTAAAGAGGTACACAGTATGCCATCACACTACCGTTAAAGAGGTACACAGTATGCCATCACACTACCGTTAAAGAGGTACACAGTATGCCATCACACTACCGTTAAAGAGGTACACAGTATGCCATCACACTACCGTTAAAGAGGTACACAGTATGCCATCACACTACCGTTAAAGAGGTACACAGTATGCCATCACACTACCGTTAAAGAGGTACACAGTATGCCATCACACTACCGTTAAAGAGGTACACAGTATGCCATCACACTACCGTTAAAGAGGTACACAGTATGCCATCACACTACCGTTGAAGAGGTGCACGCTATAATAATAATAATAATAGTAATAATAATAGATAGCATTTGTATAGCGCATATCCCCGCTCAGCAGCAGGCTCTATGCGCTTTACACTATATTAATACCCCAGCAGACCATAGAACACTCTGAAACAGTCTCAGCTTCCCGGGAAGCATACAGTGCAAGCAGCTGATTAAGCGCTCAAACACTAACAGACAAGATCTTTCGCTGTCTATAGCCGGGTACCCATTCCCACCTGGGTGAAGTGAGGAAAATTCGTGTAAAGTGCCTTTCCCAAGGACACAACGTCGGGCCCTTGACGGGATTCGAACCCACGACCTTACGGTTGCGAGTCCGAGAGCCTAACCACTAGGCCACCGACTATACCATCACACTACCGTTGAAGAGGTTGTACACATGTACTATCTCGCTACCATTGAAGTGTGGTTCTTCTGGCTAACTGGCGTCAGTGGCGTAGCAGTTTTTAGACACTAGTTTCATTCCTGAGTGGGGAAAGAATTTAATAGTTTCTCGATCTTTCTGCTTGATGTTGTACAGGGTATCTATGTCAGCCCGGTTTGGCCATGGCACGCTGCACACCTGAAGGCCTACCTCTACCATCTGGCCACAAGTTAAAAGGTTGTATACACATGCTGTCTGGTAACTTATGAATAGGTACACATGTTCCGTCTTGCTACTATAGACTACATACTCTTTAATCTAAGAAGAGGTTGTACTCGTGTACTGTCTTGCTAGATATCCGACTAATACTACTATACCACTATTGAAGAGATTGTAACCATTATTGTCTTGCTACTCTGCATTGCGGGTGGTTGTAGGTCCTACTTCTTCACTGTTCCTCTTGTTTCCATCTCTGCCTGTCTGTGGGTGGTTGGCGGGTGCTCTGGTGTGGTTTGCTCCTTCTTTCCTATCAAACATCTATCATCTATATCTCCCCTTCTTCTTTTTTTATGTTCCGGTTTGTTACTCTCTTGTAACACCTAGAATCTTCTGGCTCTCATATGACCTTACGCAGTTGCGATCGCCATAATACCTCACTTAAACGAAAC